TTTACTACTAGGGTCAATTTCTTGAAATAGGCATCAAAGGAGGTTTGTACAAGAGTTTTTCTCATCATCAATGGCCTTGTAGCAGTTGAGGCCCTCAGTAACTGAATGAATGATACACTCGGTGAACCTCTCTGCATAAGGATTTTGCCCCTGTAACTTTGCCATCCCTGTTTCGATGAACCAAAAGGCTTCACCTAAATCTTTCGTCAAAACGTTTTCGATTCTGTAGATATATTAAGTTCTGATCTGCTTCTGTAAATGGTTTCATCTCGTCTATATCAGGTTTGGGATCTGGCAAATAACCTCTCAACGTTTTTCAACATTTCAGGAAAACCACTTTCTGAACCAGCCCTCCCATTGATTGGTCCTCCCCGCTGCACCCTGCACTTTTAATATTATGTAAATTTGCCCTCGATTTGAAACGGTTGAACCAACTCGCAACAAATTCTTCAGCACAGTCCTCTTCACTTGCTGCACGGGCAGCTTTTAAATCATTGAAAAGACTTCCGGCTTTTCCTTGGACTAAAGTAAGGCTAATAGGCATATGACGCTGATTTTGATCATTTAGCCAAATTACCAATAGCCTTTCCATTTCAATAATCAAACCACTGCGTTGCTTAATAATAACTGCAGTATTCCTCAGAGCAGAGCCTTTCACGTGCTCCATTATTCTCACTTGAAAATTGTTCCGAAAATTGTTTTTAAATTGTTCCTATTGTTGACCGACTGTAGCTTGACGCTTTTCCAATGACTGATGGCGTTTTCACCTCTTCCCGGTAATTTCATTAGTTCCACTTTATTTTCAATTGTGATCATTTTCCTTTTCTTTGAAAAATCGCCAGAAGTTGCGTCGGATTTACACTTTGGAGGCGTGGTTACCAGGGTCAATACGAAGAAAATTTAAGCTAAATACAATTACACACTTTCAACGCAGTGTCAACAGCAAGGTGATCCGAGTGAAACAGCAGACAGAGTTCTCCTTCCACCCGCAAAGTAACCTCTGAAGCCGCCCAGTTTTTTCACAGAGCGTCAAAAAGTAGTGCATATGTTCCTTATTATGAACAGTTGTACAGGCATCCCTTCAGTGTCTAACGAGATCCGGCCCTGAGTGTGCTTTTAAGAATTTGTAGGTAAATTGGACCAGGTGCATATGGTTCTTATTTAGCCCTTACTTCAGTGCAAGGAAAGGCTTGAAGTGTTTTCAATGATTTAAAAGCTGCACGTGCAGTAAGTGAAAGTGATGAATTTGTGAGTAGGGTTGGTTTAGTTCTTTAAAAGGGAGTCCAGATGTACAGAACAGTAAAGGGCAGGTACTAGTGATCCCTTATCCACTTTGTCTGTGAATCAGGACATTCTTAACCCAAGGGCTTCACTTTCCTTAGTCTGGTCAAGCTTAGCTTTCTGACTTCCATTTCTTTAGTGATCCACTCCACTCCGGTCTCATTCCAATTGGCTTCAAACACAATGTCTTCACTCCCACAGGCCTTTGTTCTTGCTGTTCCCGCTGCCAGAAAATGTTGTTAAGTACTGTGGAGTCAGTTCCGACTCATAGTGACCCTGTTTCCGAGGCTGTAAATCTTTACGGGAGCAGAACGCCTCATCTTTCTCCCGTGGAACCGCTGGTAGTTTCGAACTGTCAACCTTGAGGTTAGCAGCCCAATTCGTAACCACTATGCTACCAGAGTTCCTTATAGCTGCCCTGAAATCCTGGTGTGGGGCTGTAGGATAAGCACTGGACTACTAACCATAAGGTTGGTGGTTCAAACCCATCAACCTCTCTTTGGAAACCCTATACCAGGGTCACTAGAAGTCGGAACCTACTCAACAGCACTTAACCAGCTCCTTGTGCTCACCATTCATAACTTGGTACAGATGTCTGTCTGAGTTTTCCCCTCCAGATTTGCTTTAGGTTAACACTGAAATGGATGGAACACGAAAGAGCAGCCATGACTTAATGAATTGTTAAGCTGGGGTCATGGGTGCATGGAACTTTATTGTTCTGTTTACTTCTGTATGTCTGAAGTTCTCCGAAATAACAAACTGAAACGAAATCTTGCCCCTCAACCTCTTTCCCTGCATTTATCATTGCCATCTGAAATGAAGTTTTCCAGCTTCCTTAGCTTTCTTCATGACAGCTTCAAGATCAACAGGGTAATCAAGGAATCACCCTTGTCACTTGGGGTTCCCAGAGCCTAGGAGAAGATCAAGTTTCAGATTCCTGCTAAACTGTTTTAGCCTCAGTTTGGGACAAAGAACTTGACTCAGACCTTTTGTCTCTGGTTTCTGAAAATAAACCAAGCAATTAAGGTGATCTTTGTTCTTCTAAAACAGCCAGGCAACACTTGTTAATTGCAGATTCAATTCAATTCCAATGCCCTGTATAGAGTTTCTGAGGAACCGCTGGTGGGTTTGAACCTCTGACCTTGTGGTTGTTGTTACATGCCATGGAGTCATTCCAACTTAGTGATCCTGTATAGGATTTACAAGGAGTGGCTGGTGGGTTTGAACTGCCGACCTTGTGGTTAGCAGTCCAGTGCTTATCCTACATTGCCACACCAAAGACTCCAGACAAGACTTCAACATGTATAAATAAGAGATGTGGTGGTGGTTATGCAGCTCAGGCTGTAAATCTTTATGGGCGCAGAATGCCTCATCTTTCTCCTGTGGAGCAGCTGGTAGTTTCGAACTGCTGACCTTGAGGTTAGCATCCTGACTCGTAACTACTATGCTACTAGAGGAGTGGTAGTAAGTGGGAAACAGGCGCCAGGCTGGCAACAAGTCTCAGGAAGGAAAAGGCCTAGCTACAGTCAGTGACGTAGTATTCACTGATTGATGAATATTCATTGATTGGCCCATTCCTAACTATGCATGAAAACACCAGTCTATACATGGAGGTCCCAATGACTTTAAGGGACCTGGTGTGGTGCTGTAGGATTAGCACTGGACTGCAAATCACAAGGTTGGCAGTTCAAACCCATCAACTGCTCAGAAACCCGATAAAGGGTCATTATGAGTCGGAACCAACTTGCCAACACTTTAACAACAAAGGTCTGCACGCTCCCTCTTTTAGGGGCATCCTGGATTTGGTGGCAAAATCCATATTCCAGAGATGGTGGTACATCCCTGGAGTCAATGGAGGTTATATAGAGAGGACCCTCTCAAACTTACCTGATGAACCTCTCCCATGTATCCTTTCTGGTTATAATAAAAGGAAGACTGGAGAAAAATGGATGCACTTAAATTACAGCGTTGGCAAAGAGTACTGAAATGATTATGAACTGCCAGAACAAAATAGTCTGTTTTGGAGGAAGTACAGCCAGAATGCCCCTTACAAGTGGGGATGGTAAGGCATCATCTCACACACTTTCCAGGCCCTAAAAAAGGATATCATGCTTGGTAGAGATTCTGAGAAAACGAGGAAGACCCCCAACAAGGCAGATCAATACAGTGGCAGCAACAGTGGGCTCAAACATTAACAACTTTGAGGATGGCTCAGCAGTGCCTTCTTGTTATGCACAAGGTTCCATAAGTAGGCACTGACTGGATTGCACCCAACACTAAGAAGTGTAGGTTAAAACAGTTATGATGGGGCTGTGGGTTAGGCATTGGGCCCCTGTACCAGCAGTTCAAACCCATCAGCCACTCTGTGGATGAAAAGATGAGACTGTCTTTTCTCATAACGATTTAGTTTCAGAAACCCTACATAGGGTCATTAAGAGTCAGAATCAGTGGCAGTTGAGTTTGGTTCAAGTTTGTTGCTAAATGCATCAAGTAGGTACTGACTCATAGCAACCCTATATAGGGTTTCCAAGAAGTAGCTGGTGGGCTTGAACCACCAACCTTGCAGTAAGCAGTCCAGTGCTTATCCTACAGCGTCACACCAGGACCCCCTTGATTTGGGCTTAAATACGGATCATTAGTTCCATGCATTTTATGAGCGGTTACTTAAAGAGCCCAGAGGGACAATGAGACTTGGGTTCAGCGTAAGGACAGTCCTAACTCATGAGGAGCCAGCTTTGGGTGGCTGATGACAAAGCCTGCAGGGCTAGCTGAGGAAGGACCCTGTCCTTCTGTTTGTGACCTAGGTAAAGAAAAGGGCCGGCTATCTGAAGGGCAGGACGTTGTGCAGACTCTTCAGCTCAGCTGGTACCCTATGACTCAGCCCCAGGTAGCCAGGGATAGTTTAAAGGTGAGAGATGAAGTAGCACATTAGTGGCTGGTAACTAGGAATAGAGATGTGGGAAGGCCAAGCCTGGGTCTCCTTCCACATGGCACGTGGATCTAGGCTGATCTTTACTTTAGTGGTAAAGTTGGGGTTTGCCCACCTTGCCCCTCTAATAGTACAGTTAGGGGCAGCCACATAATACCTAAACGTTTGCCTGTTTTGTTCACCATGAGCTCTCCAGAAATTTGAGCAGCACCTTGCATGCAGTAAGAATGCAATATATTTTAAAACAAAGTCCTGGTGTGGCGCCGTAGGATAAGCACTGGATCGCAAGGTCTGTTTGAATCTTAAGGTAGGCTGTTCGAGCTCACCAGCCACTTCTTGGAAATCCTACACAGGGTCACTATGAATTGGAACTGACTTGATGGTACTTAACAACGGGTATTTTAGAATAAAAAATGCGAATCCTTAGAGAAATGGAGGGCCAGGAACACCAGACTGAGCAGGTTTGAATTGATCCCCAAGGGCTGGGAGGCAGGGAAGAGTTTTAAACAGGGTAGAGGCAGGGTGAGATGTAACTGACTGAGGCAGATGACAGGCGTGAAGGAAGCTGCGATAAGGGTCTAGGCCAAAGGGAGCTGGACAGGGCAAGGAGTGGCCAAGCAAAACACCAGGTTTCTTGGGAGGGTGGAGACGGCCTTGGTGAGTTCAGGACCCTCTCCTATCCCATAGGATCTGCCCAAAACTGTGGGACAGCCCCCTTCCCCCACCCAGTTCCCCCAAAGTAGTGTAGCCCTGGGCAGAGGGGACAGACACATAGCCACTCGAGACATGTGTTCTCTCCTCGGTTTAATGGTGGTTAGTGGAATTGCCAAACCCCCTCCCCGTTCCCCTCCCGTATAAAACGTGTTTTTGTTGTGTTTTTTTTTTTAACAAGAAAAAGAGGGCAAAAGCCAGGAATGGGGAGGGGGGGGCCTCAATCTGATATTTTCATACAGATTTTTGATTTTTTTTTTTAATATATTATATATAAAACCAGAGACCAATGCGCCTCCCCCCCAAACTCCTTTCCCCCTCCCTGGGAGGCCTGGAGGAGAGATGGGGAAGGCCCCCTTAGGAGTGGGTAGACAGAGAGACAAATATGGGTAGGACAGATGGGGGGGGTGGAGGAGGTGGATGGCAGGGAAGCCCAGGGACCTGGGGCAGAGGGATTGGAGAAAAGGGTTGGGCCTGTCTCCCTCACCGCCCCCCATCGAAGTTATGACACAAAGACACAGAATCCCTGTTCCACGCCCTCCCCCCGCCCCTCCCCCCACCGTGCAAACATGGCTTTGCAAAGAGGTGCCCAGAGCTCTGTGAAGCTCTCACAATGGCTGGCATGGGGTCCAAGACCCCCAAATAAATCTTTGTTCCCCTTCCCTGCCCACCCCACCCTTCCCAGAATCTGACCCCTCCCCACAAGACCTGGTTCTGCAGCCTCCGGGAGGCGGGAGGGGGTGGAAACTGTGGTCTTTCCCTGGTTCTCGTCCCCCAACCCAATCCCTACTGCCCTCCCTGGACTTGGTGGCGAGGGGTCTGGACCTTTGGTCCCCTACCCCCTAGGAGACCCAGACCTCTTGGGCCCTCACTTTTGGTCCTGGAAAAGACCCAGGCATCCAACACCCCCAATCCTGCCCAAGTGTCTGAGGTGTTAGTGGTGGAGGGAGAAGCCCACCATCCCAGACTCTGGCAAATGTCTTTGCTGGTTCGTTGCAGCTGGCAGTGCGGGGGCCCCGAGCCTGGCGTGTAGGTGGGGTCAGATGAAGAATTCTTCTTTCCTCTTGTGTCCGTCGCTGCCATTGAGGAAGGCTTCTCTTGCTTCACCCTGTTCATCCAAGCCACTAGCTTCGTGGGTCAGATAGGAGCCTGCCAGGCAACAGAGCCCCAGAGGATCATCACCACAGACCCACAAGGGGGACGGAGATGTATGGAAAGCGAGAGACAGACAGGGAAGACAGTGAATGAGGAGGAGGAGGAGGAAGAAACAAAACACATAGGAGTCAAGTTCAGGGAAGAGCAAAACAGTGGCACAGAAAGAGGTATAAATAGAATTAGGCAGATTTCAAAAAGTTTTAGGAAAATAGCCACCCTTATCCCTTCTCTTGGTGCTACCCCCATGCTCTGTGCCCAGTGAACCCAGAAAAAGAGAAATTGTTTTATTCAAGCTATTCCCTTAATTCAAATTCTTACGTTTCACTCCTTTTAGAGGCCTTGGCTGGAAGCCCCTCCCCTTTGCCCCTTTGGGGATCTTGGCTTCAGGTCCCTCTTAGTTCCCAATCTTAGATCCAGGCCTCCCTCATTCATATCCAAGCTCTACACAAGTCCTGGACTCTAGACCCGCCCCTTTCAGGATCCCACAACCAACCGCAACCCTCGCTGCACCCAAGCCCCGCACTCACCCTTCTGCCGTACTGAGCACCAGACCATGCCCACCAGTACACAAATGATCAGAAACACCAGAAGTGCCAGGATGCCGCCCACAATGGCATAGGGCACCGACGTCTGAGCCTCTACCACCGCACCAGGGTCTGTCAGAGGGATAGGGTGCAGGACCAGGTCATCCATCAGAGGATGGTCCCACGCTGCCAAACTCCTAACCCATTCTGTACACCACACTTAGCCATGTCCCATCCTTCAAACATCACTGCCACCTTGTGGCCCCCACTGCAGAGGTTCTCAAGGGATTGATGGCTTATTGATTTGTACACTGCTAAGCTCCATTTCTTTAGCTAGAACCCGCCCCCTGGAAGCTACACTAGCCTTTTTTACTGTTTCATCTCCAACGGAGCCTTAGGGTCAGTTTCCTTCCCACCTTATCTACAAGGCTCCAGTTATTTAAAATGCTGGCCTAGGGGCAACCACTTCCAAAACTCCTGACTCATGGTGTTGTTATTAGGTGCCATCCTGCTGACTTGGACTCCCAGAGACCCTGTACCACAGCATGGGGCACTGCTCAGTCCTGCACCAGCCTTATT